CAGTTGAATTATGAATGGAGCTGGTGGTGGCCGCGGAAGTTTGGTGTCTACTGGTGGCTGAGAAATATGGCAATTATTGCACCGTTCTGGGCCACGACCGATACGTATTTTGCCTTTAGAGACGGTCATTCTAAGGTGTATTATCAAGTGTACAGCCAAACCAAGGAAAGCTCTTCCGAAATCCTCAAAAGGGCCTCACAAGATGTAACACGCTATGACGAGGGTGACAAATTTGCCAACTTTGCTGCCAGTTGGGTTCTTGTCGTGACCTGGCAGAAACTCTGTCCATACGTCTATTATCCATATTACTACTACTATGAAGAAAACGTTCCCTTAAACTGTCCCTGGGTAAGCATTTCTTTTTCTTTTTTCTTCAGCTAATCTTTGATTAACTCACCGAAACAGTGAATAGTAGAAAATTTGCCAACTTTGCTGTCACTTGGGTTCTTGTCATGACCTGGCGCATGCTCTATTACTACTATTACTACAACAACTGTCTTTGGGTAAGGCGTCTATTATCCATATTACTACTACTACCAATGCTATTATTATTAGAGAGAAAACGTTCCGTTAAACTGTGGGTAAACATTTTCTTTGGAGGGGGGGGGTAAACATATCTTTGTCGTCTTTCTTCTACTTATTTTTGATTAGTAGTTTGCGAAAACAGTAAATCGGTAGAGCTTTTTGTGCGTTCAGATGGAGTAATCAACTAATAACTGGATTTTCCCATAGTGTTGCTCCAAAACTGCTCGAATTGCTGGACGTGCTGTTTCATGAAATATCCGCAAATTTAATGATTATTATGGGAACTTGCTCTTCTTGATCAATGACACGGGTTACTGCATTTTCTTGCATTTTCATTTGCAATCTTCCTTTACTTTAATTTATCTTTCAGAGTAACACTTTTCAAGCTGTCATAATTACGGATGGATTTAACACATTTTTGATGTACAACTACCCTTCTGGTGGAATTCAGTGGGTGGTTCCAGCGGATCCGTAAGTTGATTTGCATTGAATCAATCAGCGTTCTCGTGAATGAAATGATTTAGGCTTATGCGTCTCAAGATTGCTCATGGCTTAATAGTGGAAATCAATCTATCAATCAAGTTTCCCGTCCGCTTAGCCATCGATCGAATCCAACCAGCCAACTGAGCCTACAAAAGTTTTCTAAGTTTTTTAAAAGACGCAAATTACAACGTACAATGGCTAAAGAAAATGGTTCCGGAACATTTTCCAATCGTATTTTTAAGAATTCGAAATGATAGTTTATGAAGACATATTTGTATTCGGATCCATGGCCAGACAAGTCCGCATTGTTATTTTGTTGTCATTGTTGGTGATGATGATAGCTTTTTCTTACTATCGTTGTTGATTTTGTTGTTGTTGCTCGTCTTGCCACTGAGGGGGTAAGATAAAAAGTATTCAAATTGTGTAACTTTGATTCTTGCAGGGAGTATTACCGTTACTGGACCAGTTACTACGGTCTTCCTGTCGCTGGGTGGAACGCAGGAAATGATGGCAAAGATTATTACAACCACGAAGCGTGAGAAGCTAAC